ATTGAAAATTGAACATTTTAGGTATTAGGTTCTGAGACTTTGGATCTTACTGAAACCTTTGTTTTAGCTGACCTCTCCTGACACTACTTTAGGAGGGAAATGAGATGGAGGGACACCCACCTCCTAACTCTCCTAATGGCCAACTTGGGTAGAGGTCAAGGATCTCCCTGAGCCTCCACTGATGCCCCTCTGGCTGGGGAGGTGGGGGGTAAAAGCGCCTAATTCTTGCTTCTCACTGTGGCCTCTACAGATGCTGGGGGATAGGGTGTCTCATTGTGGCATTCTGATCTCATCTAGTAAGGATGGGGAGAGGTGCCCTGTTACTGCCAGTTGGGACTGGATGTCCAGGCTCTCCCATGTTCTTCACTGACACTGAGGAGCAGAGATAGGAGACAGGATGGCCAAGATGAAAGTCCTGGTGAGGATGGGCCACAGTTTTTTCTGTGATGTGTGGCCGGAGTAGAAAGGCTATCGTCTAAACATTTTCTGTCTTGCTAGGCCACCCATTTCCTGGTCTTATGGTTAGAGAAAGCAGGCATTTGTTGTGGCTTTTGTTTGTGTGTTTGGTCTATGCCCATTAGAGTTTCTAGGCAGCAGTCTCTTCTGGTATTCAGTGTGGGAACTATGAAGCAAAGAGAAAATGCAGAGAACTCACCAGTGTTGTCTTCAGGGCTTGAGTTCCCCAGCCACCTGTATGCTTACCTCCACCTTTCAGAGGCTTTTTTATGCTCACATTGTATACAATGTCCAGGGCTGTTGGTTGTGCTTAGCAAGAGGAATAAATACATTTATTCCATCTTCCTGGAAGCAGAAGTCCTAATGATATTAATTTTTATCACTTGGTTGAGATGGCATCTTCACATTTTCACACTGGAAAATTAATACGTATTTTCTACTTTTTAATTAGCAAGTAAATATTTTGTGGGGAAATTGAGGTAATGTAAATATCCTGTTTCTCATCAAGGTTTTACCCACTGGTTTTAGCAGCTATTGATAATTCTTGCCTGAAATAATTATTATGATGGTTGCCAATTTGTTTACCTGATTCTATCACTCTTTTGATATTTTTTGGCATTTTACTGTAAAATAGAGCTTTTCCTTCTTCCCCATTCATATATTTACTTCTATCCATATACCATTCATGGATTTCTACTTACATTATCATTTATCTTGATGCTTACCTTGTTCTAGATTCTGTTTCAACCTGAATCTGTTTTATCCACCTTGTTATTTAAAACCATGAATTCACCCAAGAATATCTCTGATTAAGATCCATCACCACAGGTTTTTTTGTAGTATTTTCTGTGTCCATATCTGCGATACCTTTCTCCAACAGTGAGAAGCCTGGCCATCATTCCCAATATGTATTCTTCATGCTCAGTCTCCTGGTTTGTGACCAGTTTCCCAACCACATTTGGCAAACCCTTCAGCCCTGGCACTGCTAGCTGAGTCCGTTTGGCCCAGAAACAAAGGAAAAAAAAACAAAACTAAACAGGAAAGGCCTCTTTGGCCCATGGAGGATTAATATCCTCAGTTGCTTGTGTATTTCATTGAAATTTCTTGATTAGTATCTTTAAATTTGAAAACAGAATCACTTTTAGGGCCTGTTTTTAATTTTTTAAGTTTTGCTAATTTAGTGGGTGGAAAATGGTGTTCTGTTTTAGGCTTAATTGGCATTTTAATTCATTAACAAGACTAAACATACTTATAAGTGTCTATCAACGATTTCTATTATATCTACAATGAATCATGTATTTTGCCCATTTCTTCATCAGGATGTTTCTCTTGATGCAGAAGAATGACCGCTTAAAGATATGAGCCTGTCATGTGTCAGATGATTCTCAAGGTTATTTTTCTCTTCAGTTTGCTTCTTGGTTTTTTTTTTTTTTTACAGTGCAGAATGCTTCCATTTTTGTGTTAAGTGAATCATTCTGTTCTTTAATGGCTTATGCTTGTATGCTTTGCTTAGAAAAATCATTCTCACCTTGAGATGATGCAGTTATTACCTTCAGTTTTGTCTTAATTTTGTAGTTTCATGTTTTGCCTTTAACTCTTTAATTCATCTTGCATTCACTTTGGCATAGAGTGCTTTCGGGATCTGGGAAGCTCTTGTTGGTCATGCTAATTTCAAGTCTGTGTCCAGCAGGCCACGCTAGGATCTCCCCCTGCGAGAATGGGACCCTCCCCACCCCAGAGTTGTGCCAACACCACTGGTTGGTTACTGCACCCTTCGTTCATCTACGTTGTAGATTATGTAGGCTTGAGTCTCTTTCTTTGCGATTTATTCTGTTTCACTGATCTCTTTTGATTCCAAGATCTGTTTTTATTGTTGTAGCTTAAAAATACATTTTTTTTATCTGAAGGATGCATCCTCCCCCTATACTTTTAATCCTCCCAGCAGTCTCCTATTTTGCTGACACATTTGCTTTTCAAAATTTACTTCAGAATTATTTTTTAATGTTAAATGATAGTATCTACCTCAGCTAGAGATGCAGATGCAATAAGTCTTAATCCCATAAAGTGACCAGGACAGTGGTTGGCAAGGTAAATATTCAATAAAGTTAATTATTATTTTTAAGTGACAAAAGTCCAACTTGAGCTATCTTTATTTATTTAAGATTTATTTATTTATTTATTTATTTATTTATTTATTTATTTATTTATTTATTATTTTTGAGAGAGAGAGAGAGAGAGAGGGAGGCAGAGACACAGGAGGAGGGAGAAGCAGGCTCCATGGCGGGAGCCCGACACAGGACTCGATCCCAGGACTCCAAGATCGTGCCCTGGGCCAAAGGCAGGTGCCAAACGGCTGAGCCACCCAAGGATCCCCACTTGAGCTACCTTTAGACAAAAAGGAGACTTTATTGGCTCATGTAAGTGAGCACAGGGTCTGAGAGAGTCTAGGTGGTGTTTTTTCTCCATGGGAAGGACACAGGCCATCCAGAACTCAGCCTTCAAGCTGAAAATCCCCAAAGGGAAGAGGGTGTCTTCCACATAGCTCTGGATGAGGAGTCTCAGGGAAGGTTCTAACTGAGCTAACTTTGATCAAACGTGCATCTTGGAGCCAAACAAGGGGGTGGCAATGAGGATTGTAAGTCCTTACAGATAAATTAGTTTGGGGGTTCCTGGCTGGCTCAGTTGGAAGAATGTACAGTTCTTCATCTCAGGGCTGTGGGTTTGAGCCCCACGTGGAGAGGGCAGATATTACTTTAAGTGAATGAATGAATGAATGAATGAATGAATACATACATACATACACACACACATACATACATACTTATAAAGAAAGTTTAGGTCAAGTTTGCGTGCGTGGCTCAGTTGGTTAGGCATCTGCCTTCGGCTCAAGTCATGATCTCCATGATCCCCAGGTAGAGTTCCCTGCTCAATGAGGACTCTGCTTCTCCTTTTCCCCCTGCAACGCCCCTCCACTCATGCCCTTCCTCTCAAATAAATAAATAAACAAATCTTTAAGAAAAAAAAGTTTATGTTGCTCAATTTGTACTTTGCCTGTTGTAGCGATCATAGTTCACCTCTAGATCATGGAAACCTCTCTGGCTAGCTTAGGCTGAGTTCTCCCCCCAGAATTGGGGACATCGGTGCTGACAAACTGTGAGCACTGGAAGAGCAGTCTCTGGGCTAAGCTCCAGGAAGGCTTTGCAGGACGACACACAGAACTGGCCTGCCAGGGTCATCTGTGCCTAATAAAACAGCCACCTAGCTAATCAGCCACTTAGCTAAACAGGCCAAGCTAATCACCAGCTGCTAGCTCCAGAGCCAGCTGCCTCCTACACAGTCTGGAAAGGAAGAAGCCAGCACCTTGGTTCTTGGCTCCAGGACCTTGTCACCTCAGCCAGGCTCCTTACTAGGAAAATGGGTGCTCTGTACTCTGAAGACTTGGGGGTCAGGATGGAATGGAGTAAGCCAGTCAACTGAGGAAGAACATTAAAATGTTATTTGTTTTCTTAAGATTTTATTTATGTGAGAGAGCGTGCAAGCATGACATTGGGGATAGGAGCAGAGGGAAAGAAAGGGAGAAGCAGACTCCCCACTGAGGAAATGAGCCCCATGTGATGCAGGGCTCCATCCCAGGACACCGAAATAATGACCCGTACCAAAGGCAGATGCTTAACTAACTGAGCCACCCAGGTACGCTGAAATATAATGTTCTTTTGCCATCTTCTTTACATAATTTTAAAAGGGAAAGGATTTTTTTAACCCCTAAAAAGCGCAAAAGATATAATCTGACTCTAAAGTACAGGTAGGAACTATAAACTTATATAAATATAAATATAGATATAGATATAGATCTCAGTTTTTATATATCTAAGGTTCACCCTTGAACACCAGGTTTAGGGGGCACTGATCCCAGGCAGTAAAAAAATCCAAATCTAATGCTGGATTCCCCTCAAACTTACCTACAAATAGCCTACTGTTGACTGGAAGCCCTACTGATAAGTCAGTTAACACTTATTTTGAATGTTGTATGTGTTACATCCTATATTCTTCTAATAAAGCAAACTAAAGAAAGTGTTAGTGAGAAAATGCATAAGGAAAATATATTTCTAGCACTCTACTATATTTAGTGAAAAAAAAGCTGCGTGTAAGTGGACCCGCGTAGTTCATATCTGTGTGTATGTGTATGTGTGAATGTTATATGTGCATGTCTGTATTTCTCTCGCTTCTCTGATTTCTCACTGGATCGTTGAAAATCCTACCACAAACCAGTCAGTGAACTAGCCTTGGGGAAATCCTGTTCTACTGGTGCCCAGAGAAACGAAAGGGGGTGAAATTAACTAAGTGAACTGGGCTACTACTTGATCAGCCGGTGTTTGCCAGGACAGAACCTGAGGTTCCCTGTTGTAGGGTGTTGTCTTGGGTTATGCCTGAGTTTTTATTATTTAACTTACTTATGCCTGCCTTCCATCGCTCTCCTGCAGTGGGTGGGCTTGTTCCGGGCTGTGCCCTCTTGCCCCTTATCTCTGTATTTCCCTGCTCCCCAGCTGTTGCTTGAACACCAGGATGCCTACCAGGCGGGAGCCGTGTTCCCTGATGCGTTCTACCCCAGCATCTGCGAGAGAGGTAAGAGAAGACTTGCAGACCAAACGATGTCGCCTTCAGTTGGTTAACAGGAGCCGCCAGAACATAAGAAATCTAACACATTATATTTTCCACTGTCGTTGGTTACTGACTTAGTTCACTTGACTGTGTTTTTCATTTTACCGAACCTTACCTACTTAGGCACAGAAGTTGTGACTGTTTTCCTGATCCTCTATGTCTTTACTTGCTTTACCGCTTTGTGGAGGGAGGGAAAAAATGTGAAAGAGATTGAAGGGTCTGGGTTCTTGTTCCCGCTGTGCTATTAGCATGTGGCCTTCAAAAAGACTTTGCCCTGCTGAGTCAGTTTCCACACCTATAATGTAATAATAATGCCTGCCTTACCGCTTTACTGGATTTTTGTTGGCGTTAATTCATGTTATTTTGTCAAATGTTCTGCAGATCTAAGGTAGTGTTATCAGTAACCTGTGCTGATGGGGTGTATTGGTCAGGGCCCTTGCAAGCATGGATGGTGCACAGCAACAAGGGTAATTTGAGGGCTGTTTTATAAGGCAACCATTTATAAAGATATGGCCAAGATGTGAGAAAACTGCAGGGAAGAGTGCAGGGAGGAAGGAGTTACTGGAACTACATGGGGAGGCACCTTGAGGGGTGCTAGACCTTCAGTCAAGGACACAGCCAGCCCCCCCGTGACCCCAAAGCAGGGGATCTAGGAGAATGAGTACCCCCATTTCTCTCTCTCTCCCTTTTCTCTGGTCTCCTCTACGTTCTCCCCATTGGCCAAACCCAACCCAACCAGTGCAGACTGCTACACGAGCAAACTCAATTAGCATTATAAAATATATACTGATTATGAGGAATTTAATGCAGATTTCTTAGATTTTCATGAGTTTTCCCAAATTTTCCCTTGATCCTATACATATCTACTTGCACAGCACCTGTCTTTTTTGATTGGGGGGCTCACTTTTTACTGTACTTTTACTGCATCTTAGAAAAGCAAATGTTCTTACTCATTTACCAAAGAAGCAGCTTCGTATTTATACTCTTGTTGCATCAGTTTACCTAATACTGAATCAAATCTTTAACTACGAGAACAAGGATAACTGGCCTACCCAGGATTAGAAGCAGTCCCACTGACCCTCTATAAGCCACAGCTTGGCTGTGGGGATAGTGGCCTGCTGGCCATCACCATCCTGCAGGCCCTGCTTGGGCTAACTTTAGTTTCCGTTTAGTAGGATTACAGGGGGGAACAAAAGCTTCGCATTAATCTGGCATTTGGTTAAGGGGAGGTTTGTCCAAAGAGTTGCTGCTATACTTAGTTTTGGATTTTTACTGAATTCTGTACAATACGAATTGTAAGTTTTATCTCTTGGAAAACTTTAAGCAAATCAAATTTCTTAGTTACAATGTCTTTGAAAGTCATTTGCAGAAAAACCAATGATTTAAAACTGGTTAGAATGTTTTTAACGACGGCAAAACGATTTGAACTGAGGGATCTGAACTCTGGAGTTTTGGTTTCAGTTGCCTCTTGTGGCATTTGACACCCCAGGACAAATGTGTGGCATTGGGAGGCTTAGAATAGATGCCAGGTCCTGTCCTTCCTACCCCTGCTGTGGGAATAAAGAGCTAGATGGGCACCCATTGACCCTCTCAGCTGACGCTTAGGGTCTGTGCCATTTTAAAACAATTGTTGTAAATTAAAATGCTTGATAGCCTTTGGAGTATCTGCTTTTGTCTTTTGTGCTGTTAGGAAGGTGGACTGTGATGCACCAAGATGACACACATCCCCACACCTGTACCCCCACCCACCACCACCCCCTGCACCCCCTCACTCCACATCCCCCCAAACCCCCATCACACCCACACCCCTACCCCTTTTATCCTTCCCTTTAGCACAGAAATTGAAAATACTTCAGCCTCCATGGCAGCCCATGATTCCAGATGCTCTGAGCCAGTTCCAGCTCCTTTCTCTCTCTCTCCCAGCTGGCTCTTCTGTTCTAGAGGATTCCTCTGAACATCAATAGAAGAAATGAAGAGGCTCAAAGGGAAGGGGGAGGACTGTGGGAGGTAGCCATGGGGGCAGATCTGATTGGGAATCTCCAGCTTTTTAAGAAAGACGCCTGAGACCTGCTTTTGTTTCACCAGGGCAATTCCACGATGTGTCTGAGAGCACTCACTGGACCCCCTTTCTGAATGCAAGTGTTCATTACATCCGAGAGAACTATCCCTTTCCCTGGGAGAAGGTAGGCACAGCCCTCCAGCAAGTTCCTTGCTTGCATCTGCATTTATTCCATGTGTACCCCATCCCCACCCCAGGCTCTGGGAGGGCCGCTCACCCTTGTACCTTCAGTGCCAAACGCTGGACGTGGCTAGTTCTACTTGCATACACTACTTAGAAAAATGTGGTATGTCACTTGGTTATTTTGCTCCAAGAGTAATTAATCCGAAAGCTCTTCCAAGGCACTGCAAAACTTTTCAAAAAAGTCCTTTAGTGATTTTTGTAATTAGAAAATACAACAACCCTGCCTCTGATTTTTGTTGTTGTTAAGTCTCAGTAATGGAAATCTTACTTATTAAAAATTGTAATAGGATCTTTTATAAAATAATCCAAGCACTACTGTCCCCACTGCCCTGTTCCCATGCACCTGTCCCCACTGCCCTGTTCCCATGCACCTGTCCCCACTGCCCTGTTCCCATGCACCTGTCTCACCTCTAATTTGCTTATTTGGCAGGACACAGAGAAATTGGTAGCTTTCTTGTTTGGAATCACCTCTCACATGGTGGCCGATGTCAGCTGGCACAGCTTGGGGATCGAACAAGGATTCCTTAGGACAATGGGAGCCGTGAGTACATGTCTTCAGGTTGATGATTCTATGGGGGTGACACTGCCCTTACCCAAGATTAAAAACTGGCCCTTTTAGAGGAAAGGAAAACTTGAAGTTTTCCAGAGGTCATATAGAACCAAGATGTCTTGCCCAAAGCAGTATTAGATTTCCATCTGTTGCTATTTATTCCTTTTACTCTTCATGCTGCCCGTAAGTTCATCAATTCATCGTGTGGCAGAACAAGTGATGTGCACTGCAAACAGTGATAAATGTGATGTTCTGTTTAGTAACAAACAATATTTGGGAAACGTCATGTTTTCTTCGAGCCATGTCTATTAATGAGCATACATAGAGCCTCCACTTAGTTCTATTTGAAAGTAATGGTTCCACATGTGTTTGTTCTTTTTACATTGTCTTTTAACATTTAAAAACCTTTTTCTTCCTGAGTGTAGCTGGCACACTGTTGCATCAGCTTCAGGGGTACGACAGTGATCAGACACCTCTGTACGTGACGCTGTGCTCACAAGCGTAGCTGCCATCTGGCCCTGTGAGGCACTACTGCATCCCGTTGACTATTCCTGTGCTGGCTCTCACCTGTGACTTCATTCCAATACCTCCCACTCCTCTCCACCCACTTCTTTTTTTTTTTCTTTGATTTTCTACATGAGAATCCGTATCCCCAAACTGAAAATGGCAATCTTATTTCTGGTTCTGGTCACCAGTTGCTATTAAAGCCATTCTGTGAGAACCATACGCTTGGACGCAGTAGAGATTGTGTGTATATCCTCTGAAGTGCAAATGTTTGCAATAGCCTCATTTGTTACCAGATATTAATATACAGCTCAACTGCCACTATGATTTTTTTCTAACAAATAAAATAATAAAAATAAATGTTTTTTTCCTTTTTTTTTTTTTTTTTGAAAATTGAGTCCACCTATTCCATATCCTTAGCATTTCATTGGGTTAGGCATTCATCTCCTCACTATTGGCCTCGCTGTGGGGTAGGGATTTGGGCTACAATTTGTGACACACACACGCTTGCACACATCAGATGATTCTCTTTCTTTCTCAGGTTGATTTTCATGACTCCTATTCTGAGGCGCATTCGGCTGGTGACTTCGGTACTGTTTATTTACATTTGCCAAAGTTTCTTTTGTGATAGTTATATCTCACTTGTTATGCAGTCACTACTATACCATAAATCTGTTTTTTCCCCATATTTTTAATAACCTTCTTTCTCCTTAACTGGGACCATTTCATAATGAATTAGGACTGGACTATGTGGTTCTCTTGAGTAAAAATGTCATTTTCATATTCCATGAAACAGGTGTTAAGTCACTTTGTGAAATATCTAATAACCAGGCAGGTATCTAGATAACAAGAGTGCTGATGCTTCTGGGAGCATCAGCTGGCAAGGATGTGTGTAGTTCATGGTAGGCTTGCTACACTATCTCTTTCTCATTCTTGTGTGTGTATATAAGCTTCAATTTATACTAAAAAAAATAAATATTTAAGGTAAAATATGTTATTTTTTATCATATCTTCCCAGTACATATACTAACTAGCTTTCTATTTTAATACTTCAGTTCATCTATAGTATGGACATATCTCATTTGACATAGACATGTATTTCTGAAAAGTTGTATATGTGTATTTCTTTATAAAAAATTACATTTCATCATTGGCTTATGTCATAATTTTGAAAAGCTTTACCTTCATATCAGCTTAAAATTCATTACCTAAAAAAGAAATTAATTACCTAATGTCACCTAATACTTCAGCTTTAAATTGGTACACTCCATCTTTTTCCTGTAGTGAATTACCTTTAAATAGCCAAAGTACGGGGCGAATGGTGTTTTTTTAAAAAATAACTTTTATGGTTCATCTTTTTCCTTAAAATGAAAAACTTTTGTTTATATGGGTGTTTCTTTCTTAATTCATATGTCTTACTAAGATAAAGATGATCACTATTTCTTAAAGATATGCTTCATCTTGTGTTAAAACAATGAACACAAATATGTGACAATGTAATGGACTCATCACCTGGATTGTGCAAATCTGTGTTGAAAGAAGTATGCCATGTGTTGTCGCTAACTGACCAAATGTAAATATTTTTCTTATACCTCAGGTGGAGATGTGTTGAGCCAGTTTGAATTTAATTTTAATTACCTTGCACGGCGCTGGTAAGAGCAATGTACACTTACATATGTGTTCCCTAAATGGTATTTAGAAGCTTGACCCTTTTCAATCCCCTTAGAAAATATAGCCTACAATGTAATTAGGATTATTCTGCATATGTAAAATTTGAAAAGTAAACTGGCAGATTAGAATAGTTTAAGTGGATGATTTGAATTTGTAACCTATACCTTATAAAAATGGGTATTTATAAAAAAAATAAGATTGTGTACACCTGTGTAGCTACCACTTGGTTCAAAACCAAGCCTTACTGGTATCTTATGAGCTCCTTGCTTTCTCTGCTCACCTTCTCGCCCACCAGGGTAACCACTACGATGGAGTTCCTGTTAACCATTTTGTTGCTTTTCTTTATAGTTGAATTCCTATGGATGTGTCCATATACAAAATAGTACATGGTTTTAATCTACAGATGAATAGAATTGCATAGCGAGTATTTTCAAATTTTGCTTACATTCCTGTTTCCAAGATACAATCACATTGATGTATTTGACTGTAGTTCATTTTCGCTATTCTGTGGTCCTCCATTGTATAGATATACCAAATGAAATGCTCCATTCCAATGTGGATGGATATGTAAGTAATATGGAGTGTTTTTGCTTTTTACGTAGTGTTGCTATGAACATTTTTGTACATACATTTGTGCACCAGAGGGGCATCTCTCTGGTAATCACCACTAGACATGGAATTAGTGGTCATAGGATGTATGCACGTTTAACTTAAGTAAGCCCAAGCTTTCAGAATCGTCTTCCCAATTGATACTCTCCTCAGGTTCATAGGGTAGTTCTACTTCTTCTGCATTGTCTAATACTTGGCATTGTCTGACTTAAAAATAGCCTGTTTGGTGTGTAATAGAATCTCATTAAAGTTTTAATTTGTATTTCTGAGATGACTAATGAGGTTGAATGTTCTTTCGTATTTTATCGTGTTCAATATTAAGTGAAAATCTTGTTTAGTTTTCAGCCTATTTTTCTGTTGGTTTGTTTGTCCTTTTTACTCAATTGTGAATGTTTCTTATATATTAGGGCTTCTAATTTTTGGCTGGTTTGTCATTTATTTGTTACAAATATCTTTTCACGGTTTGTGGCATGTCTTTTTACTTATGTATCTCTTAATAAACAGCACTTAATTTTAATGTAGCTGAATATATCCATCTTTTCCTTTGTAATTTGTACTTTTGATGTCTTAAGAAATCCTTTGCTACCTTGAGGTCATGAGATTGATCATTCCCCTATTTAGCCTTCTGAGCTTTTATGGTTTTATTTTTTAAAACTTTGTCCTTCGTTTACCTGGAGTTAATTTTTTGTATATTCTGAGGTAGAATCTGATTGTTTTTCTGTAGATGTAAAAGATTATCCCCAAGTCAGGACACTTACCAGTAGTCTCCCCTTTCCTTACTGGTCTATAAGGCCCTCTCTGTCATACAATTTCACGTGTATTTGGGTCCATTTTTGGGCTTTCTATTTTGCCCTATTGATTTAATTGTCCGTGAGCAATACTGTTTTTTTTTTTTTTAATTACAGTGGCTTTAGGATACATCTCTTTGGGCTGGTCTCTCAGCCTTTCCTTTTTCTTCAGACATACTTTGCCAATTCTTTTGCCTTGGCTCTTTCAAATAAAGTGAGAGGAGCAAGTTGCCATGTTCCAAGAAAAATCTTGTTGGAATTTTTATTAGAATTTTATTGAATCTAGAGATCCATTGGAAGAGCATTAACAACTTGGAAATACTGAGTCTTCACATCCTATACATTTTATTTAAAGTGCTATACATTTTATGTAAGCCCTTTTTAATGACTTTTATTAAAGTTTTATAAGTTTTCTCCCAAGGTCTTACGTGGTTTTATTTGATATCCTTGCAGAGACTTTTTATTTCCTACCATAAATGGTAACTTTTGGTACTAGTTTTATTTTCTAATTGTTGTTGCTGTATAGAAATGCAAGCAACTATCTAATTTTGATTTTTGTATCTAGCAACATTTCTAAGCTCCCTTATTCATTCTAACGTATCTGGAGATTTTTTTTTTTTAATTCCCTATAGACTCACAATGCATCATCTACAAATCGTGACCATTTTGCTTTTCCTTTTTCAATCTTTATAACTTTCTTTTTTCTGCTGTACCACATTGGATAATATTTTCAGTACAAAAGAAGTGGTGATACTGAGCATACTTGTTTGTGATCTTACAGAGAATGCTTTCAAAATTTTATCAAATAGAATGTTTGCTATGGGTTTTGTGAATATCCTTTATCAACTTAAGGCAGTTTCCTTCTATTTTAGATTGATGTTAGTTGTTATTATAAATTAACTTCATATGTGTTGAACTTATTCTGCATCTGTTGAAATAGTTATCTCTTTCTTACCCTTTAATATAACAATTATACTGATCTATTTGCTAATATTTAATCAAGTTGAATTCGTGGGACAAAACCAACTTTGCAATAGTATATTTTCTTTTTAATATCTGTTGCATCTATTGCTGCCTGAGGTTTTTGCATTTTTATTTATGGGTGAGTTTGTACTATAATTGTCCTTTCTTCTGTCTTTGTTTGGTTTTGGTATCAAGGTTATGCTAGCTTCATGACATCAGGTGGAAAGTGTTCCTTTTCTTTTCTCTGAAGTCTACGTAAAATCAGAACTTGAATGTTTGGTAGAATTTGTAAAACTCTCTAGGCCTAGTGTTATCTTTGTGGGGACTGCTTAAAAACTTCTGTCATGGTTATAGGACTACATAGTTTTTCAATTTCTTCTTAAGGAGTTTTATTTTCTAGGGTTTTTCCTTTTCATCTGAGTGTTTAAACATCATGGCATGAGATTGTTCATAATATTTTTCTATTTATGTCTCTTATTTGTGCTTGTGTTACCTTGTTATCCATAATATTCTTTATCCTGACTTTTCATATAATTTTCAACTGTTAATCTAATCTAATACTTTTCAGTTTCATTATTTTAAAAACAAACTTTTGGGTTTATTGGTCCTATTATGTGTCCATTTTCTCTTTCATTACTTTTTACTCATATATTTATTTTCTTTGAGTTCCTATGAAATTTGTGGAGTCTTTTTAAAAGTGTTTTAATTTGTGGTGCCTGGTTCAATCAGTTAAACATCTGCCTTCAGCTCAGGTGATGATCCCAAGGTTTGGGATCAAGCCCTGTGTTGGGCTCCCTGCTCTGTGGGGAACCTGCTTCTCCCTCTCCCTCTGCCTGCCACTCCTGTGGCTTGTATGAATGCACTCTCTCTCTCTCTTTCAATCTCTCTATCAAATAAAAAGAATCTTTAAAAAATGTTAATGCTTTAAAAAATTAAGTGTTTTAATTTAATTTCAGTATAGTTAACATGCACTGTTATATTACTTTCAGGTGTATATATAACATAGTGGTCCAACAGTTCTATACATTACTCGGTGCTCATCATGATAAGTGTACTCTTAATGCCCATCACCTATACCCCACATCCCTCCACCCCCTCCCCTCTGGTGACCATCAGTTTGTTCTCTATAGTGAAGAGTTTGTTTCTTGGTTTGTGTCTTTCTCTCTTTTTTCCCCTTTGCTCATTTGTTTAATTTATTAAATTCCACATATGAGTGAGGTCATATGGTTTTTGTCTTTCTCTGACTATTTAACCTAGCATTATACTCTCTAGCTCCATCCATGTTGTTGCAAATGGCAAGATTTCATTCTTTTTTATGGCTGAGTAATATTCCATTGTATACATACATCACATTTTCTTTATCCATTCATCTATTGGTGGACACTTGCACTGCTTCCATAACTTGACTTTTTTTTTAAGATTTTATTTATTTGTTTATTCATGGGAGACACAGAGAGAGAGAGAGAGAGGCAGAGGCACAGGCAGAGGGAGAAGCAGGCTCCATGCAGGGAGCCTGATGATAACTTGGCTTTTCTAAATAATGCGCTGTCTATACAGGGGTGCATGTATCTCTTTCAATTAGTGTTTTTGTGTTTTGGTGGTAAACACCCAGTAGTGCAATTGCTGGGTCATAAGGCAGTTCTGTTTTTAATTTTTTGAGGAACCTCCATACTGTTTTCCTGAGAGGCTGCACCAGTTTGCATTCCCACCAACAGTTAGGGTTCCCCTTTCTCCACATCCTCACCAACATCCTTTGTTTCCTGAGTTGTTAATTTTAGCCATTTTGAGAGGTGTGAGGTGACAGCTCATTGTAGTTCTGATTTGCATATCCCTGATGATGAATGATGATGAACATCTTTTCATGTGTCTGTTGGCCATCTGTGTGTCTTCTCTGGAGAAATGTCCATGTTCTTTGCCCATTTTTAATTGGATTATTTGTTTTTTTGATGTTGACCTATATCAATTCTTTATATATTTTGGATATTAACCCTTTATCATATATGTCATTTGCAAATATCTTCTCCCATTTGATAGAATATCTTTAAGCTTTGCTGATTGTTTCTGTCACTGTGCAAACCTTTTTATTTTGATGAATTCCCGATAGTTTATTTTTGCTTTTATGTCCCTTGTCTTAGAAAACATGCTTAGAAAAATTTTGCTATGGCTGTTATCAGAGAAATTACTGCCTGTGCTCCCTTCTAGGACTTTTATGGTTTCAGATCTCACATTTAAGTCTTTAATCCATTTTGAGTTTATTCTTAAGAAAGTTGTTCAGTTTCATTCTTTTGCATGTTGCTGTCCAGTTTTCCTGACACCATTTGTTGAAGAGACTTTTTCCCATTGGATATTCTTTCCTGTTTTGTTGAAGATTAATTGAACATATAGCTGTGGGTTCATTTCTGGGTTTTCTGTTCTGTTCCATTGATCAATGTGTCTATTTTTTTAAAATTTTTTTCAATGTGTCTATTTTTGTGCCAGTATCATACTATTTTGATTGCTGCAGCTTTGAAATCTAGTCTGAAGTCCAGAATTGTGATGCCTCTAGTTTGCTTTTCTTTGTTTCAAGACTGCTTTGGCTATTTGGGATCATTTGTGGTTGCACACAAATTTTAACATTGTTT